AGTATACAATCTTCACTACGCTCATTTAAAGGTGCAAATAGTTAAACCAGTATTAAAATGGCAGAAAGTGCATGTTAAGAAAAGAAAAATCAAAAATCTTTTTCACCAAATAATTTCAGAACATGCTTAACTGTCACAAAAAGCCACAGATCAGTACTATTTCTGTTTACAGAAAAGCACGGGGACTTACCTTCTGCTGAGAACGGACCAAGTCCATGAGTTGCTGAGCACCTGGAGACAACTTAGATCCCATGGATTCCATTATAGTTTGCACTCTGTCTAGGTCTATGCTTGAGCTTAGTGAAGGAAAATCAGTTGCTAGTTTTGCAGACACCGTTTTCACTTGTACAATTATTTTACTGATGAGTACTCTTTGTTTCTCACCAATGGAGAGCAGCTATTGCAGGAAGGAAAAAAAAAATGTTGGTTAGAAAAAAAACAGTTTTGTGTTTGCTTTGTATGTATAAGACACTGCATTATTCTTCGAGACTTGGGAAAAACGATGCTGAACTATTTTCCAGAGAAATTAACCCGACTTCTTCTTGCACTTCATAAAATTCTGACTGGAACAGAGATGCCTGCATGACCCAAAGATAAATCAGGCCTCAATGTTCTAAATGCTTACGAGCAGTGGCCACACAGATTCTCATAAGGTTATTTAACCACATCAGAGTTAGCAGTTTTAAATACGTAGCCATTGTTGACTATCTGCAGTTTCCCTGGTTTATAAAGTTTTCTTCCCCTAAGACTATATTATCTCTCTCATATAAATATCAAGTCTTCATAAAAAGAGACCTGTGATACAAAGTTAAAAGGAGAACTCTGCTCTCAAGACAAAGTATCATCTAACAGACTTAAGTATTTATATGAAGTGATGAACTGTATAAAAACAACAATTTGACTAAGAGCAAGGCAATTTAGTCAATTAAGTGATTAAAAAGACATAGAAAAATAAAACAATTCTGTTCAACTCCCTACCTTAATTCTACAGGAGGCTGCAGGGCATTCAAACTTAAGGTACTTTCTGTATAAAGTAACCTTTTCAGTTTCGCTAGAAAAATAAAATAAATTAGTTGTGACATCGCTGTATAAAGTCCTTTTTTTTCTTTAGTTGAAATACTCTATATCAGTAAATATTCAGATAAGAAACAAAACTGACTGGAACACATTTCTAATGTGATATAGCAGTTTTAATGCTTTTATGCAACTTGTATTGAATCTTATCGGATACATATGTAAAAAAGGATTTGTATGTGTACGTACATTATCTACTAGAGAAGCTTTTGAGGTTCAGTACGTTATTCACACATCTTCCCTTTGGCTCTGAGTCGGCTGTTTTATTTAGCTAATTAAGCAGCAGATGTGTCATGTAATGACTTAAAAACAAAAAAGAAGACATTGCTTTAATTGCCCTGGCAAAGCATGGAAGCAAGTACTGAAGGGGAAAACAAATCCTTCTTTTTTTTTTCTCCACTTTCTCTCTTGTTCTTAAAAGTGTGAAAAGTGTCAAAGAGACAAGAGATCTGATAAAAATCGGCTAAAAGAGACCTGCTGAAGAGACTGAAGAGCAGATCTGTTGTCCAAAAAAGATTAAAAGGTACAGAAAAGCTTCACCTGCCTTAACTCCTCCTGTAGTCTTAAACAGCAGGATTTCAGAGGAGCGCTTTACGACTTAGTGAATTAAACGTCCCAAAACTAACTCCAAAAAGAACAAAAAAGGTAACTAGCACAACTGCAGCCTTCTATCTTTAGGGAGGAGGCAGCCCTTGTTGGTGCAAGCCACCAGGAGCTGTGCGGGGGACACCGGGGGGATCCCAGGCGGCTGCGGAGCCTTCGCCCGTTCATGGGTATCGCACAGACCTTCAGGAAAGCCCGAACCGGGTGGCTGTGGCGGTGCAGACATCAGGTCTTTACCAGCGGGAGCACCTTACAGATACACAGACAGCCGTAAGAGAAGGGCCGGGCGGTGTTGGGGGCCCAGGAGCAAACATCCCCCCCACACCCGACACTCAACCCCGACATCCCGCCCGCCTCCCGCACCCCCGCCGCCGCCACTCACCCCGGGGCCCGGGCGGCGCCCAGGTTCTCTCCCCGGCCGGTCCCGCAGTACTCCTCGCCCACGTACACCTCCATGTTCCGGGCCTCGCTCAGGATACTGACGGAGACCATCTCTCCAGCGCCGGCCGGCCGGCACTCCAGCTCCAGCAAGCAGGGGCCTGCC